TTTGTCAGTCCATAAGTTTGTTGAGGATCTGAACTAAAACTTTCAGATTTCACAATGAACAGATTAAGTTTAAACGAATGAGTCTAAAGTCATTGTTTGAAATATTTCACGTTAACCAATTCCCTATACTATGCAAATATCAACAATAGGTATTGTACGATATGACTACACACTACTGATTACAAATTTTTGACAAATTTCGGAGAATTTTCCGAAAATTAGTTACTAGTATTTATATCATTGTTTGGAGAATGAAGAGTTTTGTGACAAAAATAGTTCATATTTACTGTAATAAGATATCCGATAGTAGAATCATGTTATTATTTTACTGGTCAAGTATATAATATGTACTCTGAAAAATCAACATTCCAATGAATTAATGTTGTAGATAAGTTACCCTAAAAAATAGTATTTGTATAATATCATGAATTGAGAAACATTGAATATCAATTTAGTAATCTAAAGGTTGCTTCTTCAAAGTCTTGTGTTCAGTCATTGGTAGGATTGTGAATGCACTTTATTAGGACGTCCCATCACTAGATAACAAATGTGTATATTGATAACTGATTGACATTTATAAAATCAATAATTGAAGAGTTAAAAGAAAGCTTACATTGAGACGTGAGTGAAAAAAATACCAGCAAGTAACAGTTCATGATAAATACTCCTTTAACGTTACTAAGATCAATTCTAATCAAAGTAAGTCGTTAAAATTTATCTTCCGTTTCCATTCTTACAAACAAAAACAATCAAAAGAATAAAAGTGGAGCGTAAAAAAGACGAAAAAAATAAAAATAATCATTATAGTCAATTAATGATCGGTTCATGATCTCAATCGAAAAATGATAAACCGGCAAGACTCTAATTTATGGGCGTCCTTTGAACGAATCTTAAGTGACCTTGAGAAGTATTAGCCAATCAGCAACCAGTCAGTATAGAGTAAAATGTTATACAAAACCAAGGAAATAATGTAGATATACTTCTTATACGTGGTTCAAGTTTAGAAAGAGGTTCAGAGGTTCTAAAATCGTAATGCATGCAGTAGAGGAAATCATCCATACGGCTACAGAATAGTCGGCCTCTGGAGTCATGATAAAGTCTCAAATACTCTTTCACCCTCGACCACATAGCTTCAATATTGTTTATGTGCACACTGGTTGTTGAGTGCACAAAATGCTACTTGTGGATAACGACACGGTGCACTTAACCAAGCCCATGTGGGAGTCTGTACGCTCTCCAAACATCCGTATATATTGTAGTACCTGGCTGCGGCCAGTGTTACTGGTGCTTTTATTATCCATTTCGCAATAATTGTCGTAATTTGCCTTAGTTAGGAATTATACATGGAGTTTTCATCACGAACCGACATCAACTATAATCCCAAAAATTTATTTCGACAAATGGATGAAAGGCTTTCGCGAGACCTATTATCTTTTACTCGACACAAATTATAGTCTCGCCGTTTTATTTGTTATAACTGCTCAATTATCACATTTTGTACAAAATTCCCTCTGAACCGATCGTACATTAACATTAAGCACTGAAGTTGGCGCCTTAACCTTGAAATCTTTAAAACGTTCCTGATTGGTTCGTCCATAAATTAGAGTCTTGCCGATAAACCTTAGTTTTTTAAAGATTTTTACTATTTCAACGTTTTAATAATGAATAACTAAACAAACAGAATATAATTTTTCATTGAACAAATCAACCCTACTTCTTATTTCTTTTAAAACAAAAATCAATAGAATAGTTGGCATTAGCAACAAGTTAACAAAAAAATACAAAGGAAAAAAAAGAATAATAAAAAACAGTGTTGACATGACAATAATTGTTATAGTTTTATTATCTATAATAGAATATAGAATAATTTGTTATGGTTATTTCATTCTTTATATAGATTTAATAAAATCAAATGAGTATAGTACAAAGAAGAAAATAACATAATCTTGAAAAGAGATGTAATTGAATCAGAATTCTCGTTTGTTTTTCATGGTTGGTAAAAAAGGTAATGGTTTTATCGTGTATGCTCACTGCTGAGAAATCCCACAATAGGACGAAACGTACGTTCAGTACTTTCAGGTTTTCCTTCATGGCCTAGCTTCAATTGACTCATGAATTCAATTATTAAATTAATGATAGTTTCGTAAACTTTAGAAGCTATTCTCTTAATAGTCAATATGTATTTTTTTCAATGTTCATGTATTGAATAGTTAGTTTATGGTATTTTTCTTTTCAATTTTATCCTAATGGTAGGCTTTCATTTACCTCACTATCTATTAATGCAATTTTTACAGTTAATTAATGATCATCTACCTGTTACTCAATTTTGATTATGATGTAATTGAATGGAGTAAAATGTATCAAATTCATTCATAGAATAACAAATTAATCATTTGTTATTATTTAAAACCCCGAGTTGGATTAAAACGAACGGATAAAAGAATTCAATGCTCACAGATGAGTCACAGTGTGTACGAGAACATCAGTAGTCAATGTACATGAATGTTTTAAACCAATATTTATGACTGGAAATAATACACTTTAACAACATTCAAATAATATTTCTGAAGAACAATTCAAAAAATTGACAAGCTTTGATTTACATCAAAATTGATAATCAAACACCTAATTGTATATTTTAAAATTAATTCCCTAAAACTCCTATAACAACACTAAATTGATTGTGTGTGGGTTTTTGTTTTACTTTTCTGAATCTGGAATTTTTATTTTCTTCATAAGTTACTTATGTATTTCACAAGTTGAAATCATGAGTCAGTTGAAGCTAGACCACCATTGAAAACCTGGAAGCACTGGACGGCCGTTTCGTCCTGGTATGGGACTCCTCAGCAGTGCGCACCCACGACCCCGCCCCCCGCGAGATTCGAACCCAGGACCTATCAGTCTCGAGCCAGGCGCTTAACCAACTAGACCACTGAGCCGGCATTCAACGGTGTTAATGTCTAACTTCAACCAATCCACGAAGTTGCGCCACTGTACACCATTGTCTTCAGTGAGTTCCTATTTCACAACGAAACGGCCGTCTAGTGCTTCCAGGTTTTCCATGGTGGCTTAGCTTCAGTTGACTCAAGATTTCAACCAGTGAATTTTCTAAAATCTCCACAAAACCCATTCTGATAAATTCAAAACTAATTTAATTGATCAATTCACATTAAATGTGGTTTTTCAGTCATAATTAATAGTAAACAATCAATAATTTAAGTCGGTGATATTCAACATTCTTTTAAAAGAATAACCTATCAATCACGTCATTAGTCATGTACAATTTTATTTAAAATGAATCACTATATTTTTCATTGATATTTGAATTGGATTTTAATATAGTTGGTATAAGAATTTTGGAAAATCTCTTATCTATACTACTAATAAACTGTTCATTAGTACCAAACAAAATCGTATGGTAAATTTCGATAAAAAGCTGTTTATTTTATACACATTTTTATTGTTGAATTTCTCAACTTAGAAGTAAATTAATGATTGTCATCTAAAAAGAAATTAGTAAGATTTAAAGATGATAAGCAAAGATGGGTAGTGGTGAGTCTTGAATAGGACGAGAAGCGCGTACTGGATCCCACTGCTAACCGCTAACCATCTTTATTTAGAATACTTATGAATTAAGGCAATATCGAAGCAATACACAAAGTATGCACATATGCTAATAAGAGACTGATCAATTCCAGTTCTAAATATCAATGGAAAGATTCAAGTGAACAATACCATGTAAATTTATCGGAAGGAATCATGACAACCACTGCAACAGTTAATATAGACATATGGAACATCGATAGGGTCGTTCAAATAACAACACTAATGAGAACATACAACCTGGTCGTGTTCACAGTAAATTAAGTCCGTTGAACACAAGCTTGATAGAAAAGACTAACTTCAGTAAAGCTGTGATTGTATTCTCATCACAGAAAAGCAAATGCCCAACAAACACAACAAACCCCACTGATGCTCTCTACACAAATACGAGAGTCGCTTACGGATTGACAATCTCATGGCTTCACCACCATCAAGTCATCCTTCAGAAGAACGAATGATAGCATCACTATGAGCACCATCCACTGTTACGCATCACTAAATGATAAAAGTGAACATGAGTACAATCGGTTTCATGCGAGGCTGAAGTTGATTGTAGAGAACTGTTCACAAAAAACCCACACCATTCTGGTGGGAAATCTGAACGCCAACATCGGGTGTGGACGCATCATCAAACGATGTGGACTGAGAGGGAAACGAGAATGGTGGGAAACTGACAGATCTATTCACTTTCATTACCACGGTTTTAGGTGACACCATTTTCACCCACAGACGTATACGCAAAGGTACATGGGTTTCACCAGATAACGTAACAGGAACCACATCTGCATAAAGTAGTCAATAGGTCTACAGAAGACGTTAAAATAAAGAATGGAGCCGACAGCTTCACATCACCGTCAGGTGTTACCCAAGAAAAAAACTAAAGCGAATGAAGCATTCGGGCAGTTGCACAAACAACACTATAAAACTCCTACACATCCTTCTTTCCAGATGTTAACAAGTTCACCGGGTTCAGTGTGACTTTCACAGACCATCCAGCTCAGAGAACAAAACACCGTAAAAAAATATTACTACTAGTATTTATTATCATCAATGTTACAAAAAAGAAGAAAAGTGAACTGAATAATGAAAACGAAAGAAAAATAACATCAACAAATGGATATGTAATGGTTAAATTACAGTGATCTTTTGAAAGTAACCATTATATCGAATGAATGTGTGTGTGTGTGTGTGTGGAGTACAAAATGAGTGTTTTAATGGTGTATGTGAGTTTGTTAAGGTTTTTTTTTAAAGCACAATCTGTAAGATTGATCACAATATAATGACGGAATAAAGTAAATTAACTTTGAATAGTAAAAACAAACATTTAAAAATATTAAAGCATTTTCTACATGGAAACATTTAAAACTAACAATGAATGAATGAATTGTTTTGAGTAGAAAAAAAAAAGAAAGAAAAAAGAAACAGAGTAAACCAGTAAAACTATTAGATTAGTAACATGGAATTAATCAATTGATTAACTTTAAACAACAGTATACATATGAATAAGTAAATATAATAATGTAAACATTGTATTATTGATTTATGTGCTCAATTGATTATGATTATTGAAATGTGTATCAATTATAGCAGGTTAATAAGTAAGTGAATGGAATATTTCTGTAGAAATTGTTCATCATTAAATTATGCATAGAAACTAAAACAATAAACATATGATTTTTTTGTCTATTTTTTTTCTGTTTGGATTTAAAAACTAATACCATTTCGATCTTTGCAAAAACCTAGATTACTTTGATTGTAAATAATTGTAAAGAAGTTGATATGTGAATTCAAATGAATGTTGGCATATTCAACCTGAAATACAATGAAGAAATAAATAAGAGAGAGAGAGAGAGGAACATTATGCTGGTTCAACAGAGTAGAAAAGAGTCGAGACACACGCACAGATATAAATAACTAAGATATCGACTTTTTAACTAGTTTATAAAATATTAGTAATTTAAGCATTTTTAAACTCAAAATAAATTAGTCAGTCAGTCAGACAAAAGGATATAGTGTAACTACAGATCGAATATTGAGCATTTGCATGTGAGACTAAAGATTTGATTCCTGTGTGCGAGATCGTGTATGCACACTGCTAGAGCTACATACTAGAGCAAAACGATCGTCCAGTGCTTCCAGATTTTCAATGGTTATCCAATATTGATTGATTCATGATTTCAATGAAGCTCAGCAATCTCCACAATCCTATACTGATAATTATAAATCGTTTCAAGTTGTCACAATATATTAGCTCAGTGAGATGGTATTAAAAAAGAGTTTCAATCCAAAATCACAAAAAGCAATTCAAATAAATTATTCATCTCCTAATATTTATTAGCAAATATTATTGAACGAAGAACTAGGTGGAAAGAGAACTATTCTACAACAGTTGACCAGTTTCTATTCTAGACTTTCTATCACTTATAAAGGATTGATAAATGTAAGTAATGACTGTACAGTATATAGGTATGTATGTATAATTATTTTATGATTTATGAATTGTTAGGCTATAGAACTGGAAGACTTCTCTATGTAGGACTAGATAGATATAATACACAACAATTCAACAGAGAAAAACCAGATGCAAATGAGTTGGGAAAAAGAGGCGGGACATTGAAAGAGCGGTGAGACTACAGTTTATGGACGACCTTTGAGCAACGCTAAAATGACCTTCCTACTAGGATTATAAATTAGTGTGAGGAATTTGCATTTACAGTTGATTAATTTAATTTTTTTGATCAGGAACTGACATCAGGTATAATGCCGAAATGGTATTTAGCCGAATAAGTGAATGAACTTTGCGCCAAAATCCAAGACCTGATATCTTAAATCTGATTAGTTCGTCCATAAATTATAGTACAAGATGTACAAGACCAAAGAATTACTAAAACTATTTGTGAATTACTTAACATTGCCACATTACAAAGGATATAATAGACTATTGTATGAAAAATTACAATATATATATGTAGTTATTATTGATAACCTTTGTCAGTCCAATACTTTTCATTCACCTATGTCAATTGTTTTACATTATATTTTACCTCAATGTGAAATTTTTTTTAAAATATTTGTTTGTAAGCAACTGATGAGAACCCATTAAATATGATCATTTATAAATTGATAATAATATTACACAGGGAGAAATAAGTAGATTCACTGTAAAAAAACATACACTAAATATGAATTACTTGAATTAATACAAGGAATATAATTGTCACATTGAACGAAAGTTCTTACTAGTCACACCCTGGTCAAAATTCATAATGGATTGCTACAAAAAATATTGATCTTAAATAATGTCGTCTTTTTATAGTATAATTTTTAGTATTTCAAATCAGAAGATTCAAGTATGATAAAAGCAGATAAAAGCCACGATGTATCAAAGATAATAAAGTTTATAACTAATCATTTTTTAATTGAGTACATTTCGAATAATTTAAGTTTTATAGAGAACTGAACATGAATAGTTGTAAATAGTGTAATGTATCCATAAGATGTAAAGTTTATTAGAATAATGTTGAGGTTATGTAATATATAAAGCAATTAGTCCCTTTTATAAATTTCGATAGAACAATGAGAAGACAGAGTTGATCTGAAAAATGTGATGTATTAGCGCTATACATTTCGAACAATCTGATCACATTTATACTTATCAGGGTATTTTTATATGAAAATTAATAAAGGTCAAACAAATAAATAAAAGTACAATTAAAATAACTAAGTGGAGAGAAAGAATAAGAAATTGTCGCGTTATCCTAGGCCATAGAATGACCATAAAAATGCCTTGACAAGTATATGTATGACCAGATTGTTCGAAATGTATAGCGCTAATACATCACATTTTTCAGATCAACTCTGTTTTCTCATAGTTCTATCGAAATATGTGATATATATTGAAACATTATCATTGGATTAATTGTTAGCTTTAAATAGTAAAATAATCTACATTCATAAAAGTGAATAGAATGTTTTAAATGAATTCCGAATGAAGAAAAATTTTCATCGAAAATGTACAAACAAAAAAATCTATTTATGATTAGAAATATACCTATTTTCCATACATTTAGCATTTTTCTTACTGATATACATATATGTAACTAAATGAAGAATTAATTATTAAGTAGGATGATAATAAACAAATATATTAATGTAATCTGTTCATTATCAGAATGGGTTTTGTGGAGATTTTAGAAATTTCACAGATAGAAATCATGAGTCAGTTGAAGCTAGACCACCATTGAAAACCTGGAAGCAATGGACGGCCGTTTCGTCCTAGTATGGGACTCCTCAGCAGTGCGCATCTGTTCACTTAAATTAAACATGTTTTCATTAACAATAATTGATTTTCAAAAACTCAAAATTAAAATTTATAATCTTGTTTACATTTATTAAATATATTAGTACATAAAATAAAATTTGATCTGGGTTTTTTTGTTGTTGATAAAGGTATAAACATAATTAAACTAACTTGAATGTCATATTTAGACAAAGAATTAGAAATAGCTGAAATGGCTAGATCACAGTTGTACATATCTTTGTCTGACAATGAATCCGGTGAATAAAAACAAGGATGATGATGTAAAATAACCATTGGAACATCTTGAGATATTGGATTCCAACGATCAATCCATTTTGTTTCTTCCAATTCACCCCAAATTATTTGAACACCACCATAGTTACGCTGGCTGTGGATAATAATAATAATAATAACAATAAATAATGGGAATAATATATTTGTAAAATCCCAATGATTAAAAAAGTAAGATTTCCACACTAAAAATATCAAAATTTTCAGGCCAACAAACATACACACACAAGTAGGTCATATGTAAAACGCACCTTGATCTAAATGACATGTCATTCATATGATCAGATCTACTTTAATTGTAATAAAAATATTCTACTTTGTTTTCTTATTACCATTTAAATTTGTGTTAATTTAATCCGTTTATTTATTTTTATTCGCCGAAGAAGTTGCTTACACTAAGTCACGAAACACCAGAAATTCAATTTTCTACTAATTGGTATTTCGCAAATATATCGTTATTAACATTATACCGGATGATCAATTTATTTGAAATTATCAAGTCAAACCTTGGCAATCATGCTGGCAAACAATAATAATCGTTTCAATTAACATTATATGTTTAGTACAATATGAGATTCTCAACATATAAGTTAGATGTGTAAATAAAATGAAAAGTAAACAAGCAATGAAAATGTTAGGATTATTTACTGATGAAACTGTAGACTCATGGTTTTAGTTCAAAGTCAATTAATAATGGTTGGTCAATCCAATTATTTATTCGTCAATGTAATATAAAGCAGTAGAGGTTACTGGTTCAAACACTAGACTTTCAACCACATGGTCACAAAGTTTCAAGCCATATTCAATCTATTTCGATTCGCGTAGCCAGGTACTATCACTAGCTTAGGACAAAAATACTGTAATTACTTAATGAGTTACATAAATTAATTAAACAAATGTCAATGTAAACTAAGAAAAATATGATAAGTACATGGAGTACAAGTCAGTCAACGTAGAACTTCGTACGTACGTACATCAGTTCGAGTTGCCACACCACATTAGCACAGAGATGCCGTGGTCGATTCAAATCCCGTAGTGGTAGAGGTAATAAGAGTATAAGCAGTAATCGGAAAGATTAGTGTTTGGAGATGATACTTAAAAAGTATAATACAGTGAAATAAACTTGGGAAGAGAAAAAGAGACAAGGGGGAATCAGGAGATCAAAATTTGGGAGAACACAAAGAGTGGATGCACCTGCGCCATTGCAAACGATTTTGAGCCATGTCACTCAAGGTCTCTAACCATCGGTTGCTATCATCTCGCGGTCCCCAACCAGGTAGTCTACACCTACCAACATGACTCAGACCACTTGTCAATGACTTCATGGATTTGTGCCATGTTTTGGTCTGGCCGCCAGTAGCTTTCTTCCAACCTACTCCTATACCACTGAACATTGCACGTCGAGGCAGTCGGTCGTTGGGCATACGTAACACGTGTCCCAGCCATCTCAACTGATGAAGTTTCACCACTTCATCAATTGATTTGCCATCCTTACCTAGTACCCATTTCCTAACAACTGTGTTACTTACTCGATGGTCTCATGATATACGAGCAATGTTTCGAAGACACCTATGATCGAATACTAGTAACCTACGAATATCCTCTACTCTTACCGGCTATGTTTCACTGCCATAAAGTAGGACGGGACGAACTGCTGCGCAGTAAACACGTCCTTTGGTTGATAGACGGATATCTCGCCTACGCCATAAATGATGCAAGTTGGCGAAAGCTAGTCGAGCCTTCTGTATCCGTGCTGAGATTTCGTCACACACCAGACCACAAGGGCTGATGAGACTTCCAAGATAAGTGAAGCGGTCGACAAACTATGGTCTAAGTGTATGCACACACTGTCTGGTGTTGTTATACACATCACTAAACAATACATGAGACGATTAGTAATGCTGTAACTCAGAATAGTTGATTTTATGTTAATTAATGAGCAGTGAATAAATTTTTTTACTAAGCAATGTAGTTTACTAATACCAATAATCTAATGATATCATATTGGCAGTATAGACTTCATAATACTTACAGGTTTATACAGTGTCAAAAATTTCTAGTGGAACAGACAATAAAATCACTAATCGTTCAGTTGAAGTATGGTTAACTAGTTTTTAGTTTGAAAAGAAACTTGAATATTTAGAGAAGTTAACTTGTCGTTCGATGACACAATTTTATTATTTCAAACCCTCAACAGAATCACAGACTGTAACAAGCGCAATATAACTGGTTAAGAAGGAAAATTTCAAGAAGTTAGTTATATATTTGTTCAGTAAAAATCCAAAAAATGTTAAAAGTTTGTTAATGTAGTTTATTCGAATAGACTTTCATAATGGGAATCTGAACATTACTGACTGATAAGAATTGAGTCGCTAATTTAGTTTTTATTCAAATCCTGTAATCGATTAGCCTAAATGATAATCAATCGGTAAAATTCAGTTTGATATAGATCGGAATAATATCTAAGTGAGCAGTTGTTATCGAAAAAGAGTGTGTGTATCTCTCATTGATCATATTGTCAAACGAAATAATCAGTCAGTAATAATCGTATAGAACCTAGTAAAAAATTTTAATAACCCAAATTTCCATACCACATCAGCATCAAGATAGGAAAAGAAACGAAATAATACTGGTATCAGTGACAGTGAATGAGATTCAATTTTGAAAAATATGGTTTAGAAAGGAAGGATGAATTAAAAAGTACGAAATATTATGGAAGCTCAAAAATTAGATGAAGACAAAGAGTGAAAAGATCTGTGTTACTGTGATCAGTTTAGAGCAATATCATTTAAAGTATTTAATCATTGGTCGTGATAACTGCGTGGACCCAAACCACGTAGTGCTGGAGCACTCCATGTCTAAGGCCTTTCTTCCGTTACAGGAAACCAGAATCGTTGCATATGCTAGTTGTCCGAGGGGAACACCTTACTGTCATCACAATTCCGTATGGTCATCAGTAAGACTGCTTTCCGACCCTAAGTTGTCTGTTTTTTGGTTTAATTGCTTTCCAATCGACCGCCCTTGTATGATAGGACAGAAAGGAGCGAGTTTGTCAGTCAATATAGCTGTGGGTACTTTAAAATTGCCCCAAAATGCCATGGTACGGTCGAGTGGGTTGAGTCAGCCCTCCCTCTCGAAATGCTCTCACATGGCCACGTGCATACAACTGTTAGGGAAGTCCTACTCACTGCCTTGTCGAGGCAGGGGTGATGTTTACAAAAATAAGAAAATGAAAAGCGAATGTCCGGAGCTTTAACAGGGTTGGTGGACATGGAGATTCCACCTAAGGGAGATGGAAAACCCTGATTCCAAACCAATGGTGCACATGGGCTCCAGCATCCTGAAGGAACAAATGGCACATGGACCTATTGTTGGTCACCGTGGGACTGCATCTCCTGACGTTTCTCCACTGCCTTGTGGATGGGACCTTTAGGCCCCGTGTGTGGCCCTCTATGAAAACCACCTGTTTCGGTTTGGTTACCCGGAGAGTATCCCACCCCTTACACAAACTGAATGATTTATGTGGCGCATATCTATTTGGTGCCTCCTTGTACCAATGTTTATGTGTTTAAATAAATATAGCTCGACTAGGTGATCATCATATGTAAACCTGACCACCGAATCAGGGTAGAAGCTACTGTCAGGAAAAATTTCGCATCCACCGACATCGTTCACGTTTTAAGTTATGAGCTGCAATCTTTCTTTCAGATTACTCCGACTGCAGCCAACATTGTACTTTCAGGTAGGCGGTGGTTGTGGATACATAATACGTCCCAGCCACTTCGATTGATGAGGATTTGTGGTTTCAATGATCAATTCGCCTTCTTTTCCTGGTATTGTACGCTTAACCTCAGCGTTGTTTACTCGGTTATTTCACAATATGCAAACAATGCTTAAAATTCATCTATGATCAAAAACCTTGGATTTATGTATCTTCCCTACTTTCATAAGCTACTTTTTACCTCTATATGGTAATGTGGAGTGAAGTGTACATTATACTCATTCTTTACTAAGCAGATAGGCATCTCTCCGACGACACGACCGACGCAAAATGGTGAGAAGTCAAGCGAGCTTTTCGAATCTGTGCCGTGATTTCATTAGGGACTATATCATCAGAGTTGATGAGACTTTTAAGATGCGTCAGATGATCAGCGCGCCCAACAACTTCATTCCCCATGATCAGTCTAGAATTTCACACAGACCAGTCGATGACCGAATTATAACTTAGGTCTGACCAAGGATCAAACGTGGTAGAATCCCACATACTAATCTGAAGATTTGTTATAACTTGTAGTCTGTGTGCCCTGCTAATGTATAATGTAATGATACCGCCAATTAGAGAGCAGTGAATTATCGATCCGACCAATGACGCGTAAAACCCGTACGAGCAGTCTAGAGTCTTGATTGGTCTTGCTTTCTGCCTAGCCCAGTCAGTTAAATCCAGAACACCAACCTCAGCCTCTGTAATATGAATCATTTCAAGCATACTGGGTTTATATACCAACCAGACAGACCACATTGTACCATAAAATAGGAAACAACATTTATACAAGATTTGGCCAAATGTGGCTGTGAATGTGGAAGGTAGTAATTAATAGACTGGGCATAATTCAAGAATGGTAAATCGTATAATGATAGTTCATACGTCAAAATAAAGCTCATAATAAGAGTGACATGAATATGAACAGTTTAGTTATTTAACAATTATATGATATAAATATACGCATATACGCATCTAGATGTTAGGTCGTTGGAGTCAGTTGGAAGGAAGCCCTGGATCTCTTCTTTGTGAAATAAACTCGAACTGATCTAATAACATTAATCTTATTTACGGGAAAATAGTGATCATCATCATAAATATTCCAAAGTTTGTGTGATGGACAGATTTAGAAACCTCTTAGAGGTTTAAGTCAATATTTTCGAGGAGTTTCAAACTGTTTAAATATGTGTGGGAAATAGTAGACAAATTTTAAATACTAGGAATTGCTACGCAGCTGTTTCGTCTCATTTAGGGACTTTATAATGTAATCTTGATTAAATATGGATGCATGTGTTGTTAAGAATGGATACCTATCAATAAAATCAAACAACAATCACGATGTCATTGTATGACTTAAGTAGTATGAAACCTGTCAAATAAATCCGTGACCTGAGGTCATAAAATTTTCATTACACAAAGTTTAGAGCAAACTAATACATCCTGTGAAATACTTGAAACTTTTAACAACACACCTTTTCATCTTCGTTTCGTTGTTGAAAATATTAATGGAGGCTCTCAGAAGTCAGACTTTTCAGTAGAACTGTACAATCGTGTAGACGGTTTTCCCAAAATCAGCTCGCCGGCAATCGTCCAGACAGTGAGTTGATGACCGAGAAACATGAGGAACTATACAATCACAATGTTTTCATCAAGATGTATGATCAACAGTCGTCCTAGCTATGGATCATCCGTCATTGGAACGCCTGATCCACGCATTCTCTCCACACATATACCTTAAGATTTAATTAATCTCTCAAAACTTACCCAAAACTTTAGTAGTTTAGTTATTCTAGTCATTGAATAAACCATGTGAATCACAAAACAATCAGTCTTTAATAATGGATATACATATATGTGTACCGCTGACACATACTATTCATATCTGTGAGCATAATTAGCATACACCACAAATCCAGAAAACAGTAATTTTTAGCAATCAAGATAACAATAACTTACGGTAATGCAGACCAATTTGGTTGAATTAAATTTCCAACACGTATGGTTTTAATGGATTGTAAGAGAACACGTTTTGAAGTACAATCTTCATTGATAAAATTAAAGCTTATAAGCATTAAATATTTGTCGGTTAAACAAACAGTGGTCTCTATTTCATGATCCCAATGATTAATTCTAAGATAAGCATAAAACAATGAAGCGGTAAGACCATTAAGCACAGAAAAGAGAACAAAATTCACAATTGGTAAATGTTTCAAGGGAAATTAACTTCACGTAGTTTAATTTTTAGTATTAACCGAATTCTCTTTCATCAAGTTTAAGGTGGAGTAAATATTAGATTAAATAATCCCATATTGTGATATTTAATGAGTGAATGAAATCAGCTGAGAATTTCGGAATTCATAAGTTAAGTGTATAATGTCAAACAACTATGAAACTCAAGACTTAAACTGTATCATTCAGAGATTTCGTTAATGACATTACCGTTGAACTATACAAGTCGAATTTCATGATATTGTAGTGAGTAAAAAATATAAACTCATATAATAAAAGTGACGTTTTTTGTATAAAGATAAAGTACTTTGTTTCTACTAAACTCTTATCATTTACATCTAAATATCTGATTTAAGACTGGCACATCATATAGCAGCTATTCGCAACAAATGATTATCTCCTGGAACACAATGTACTCTCACTTCACAGTAGTGATCTTGAATTATTTTGTATATATATCTTGTATTATAAGCCGCTTATCTTACTATCATTCTCTATTTTCCCATTTGTTTTGTTCAAAGCTTCAAAATAAATTAACCCATCACTAAATCAATGAATGAAAGGTATCCTTGTTGTACAAACTGTTCTATGAGATAGAGAATTTTAATAATACAATTTTATTGGACGTTTAAGAATCATACAAACAAATATTGTGAAGACTGTAGAAAAATAATCCAAAAATAAGATTATTAATGACCTGCTAAATATATAAAGTCTTTAAAGTAAAAGCAGTTTATATTAGGACAGAAATTAAACATTTATAACAAAGAGAATTGTTTCATCAGACAATATGGTGCTGAATTCGAGCATGGAATTAGATTTTTAAGTGATTAAATTTTAAGTTAAAAATATTAAATGGACAGTAGTAATGAGTTTATTTCACTGACCTAGTCAATACCCACAAATCAATAAAATTCCCATCATCAGGCTTTAAACATTTCTCGGTAATTTTCGATACAAGCATTTCTTTAGTATACTACAAAAAGAAAACGTTACAGGCAAGAAAAAAAAATGATATATAATAAGTAACATACTGGATTGTCGAGTAACTTTTTTATCAATCACAATATAAGTTAAGTATACTTAGCTGATTACTGAATAATTAACATGAATTAAACACAACATATTTGATAACAACATAAACAAAATTACAATAATTTTAAACAATCATTAAATGACAGATTGAATAATGCAAATCTTATTTGAGTAAAATTATCTTAATCTGTAAATGGCTAATATGAAAGTGAACTATGACAAATAAGAAACTTGTAAAGATGACTAATTTAAACCTAATTTATAAATAATTTTTGCTACTTGTCATATTTTCGATAGGTCCATTTGATTTGTACAATCGTTATTGTCTATAAAATGTTAAGGTCGATATTGAATTTCACTGTACGCTCTTTGTATGGTACGTTGACTATTATTCACTAAATAAACGTGCTACCTACCTACGTCAAATTTTTGTCTAAATTGCTATCATGTTGACAGGTTCTTAATACACCTACCATATCTAGAAGTTAAGCGTCCGCATGCGAGACCGAAGGTCCTGGGTTTGAATCCTGCGCGTAGAATCGTAGATGCGAACTGCCGAGGAGTCCCGTACTGGGACGAAATGGCCGTCCTGTGCTTCCAGGTTTTCAATGGTGGTATAACATTCATCGATTCATGATCTCAATCCAAGACATATCTTTACAGCTCGTATTCCTGGACATTACGCTAATCAATAACCCGTTATAACACCGAAGTATATCTAAGATTTGAAAACTAACAACCTATCTTGATTGTGGGATTATTTCTGGATTTATTGAACGTAAAACCAACCATTGGGAAGTAACTCTTTGTGAAATTATATATACTTGTGTTATATACAATTAACTCATTTTTCGTACATTCTTTTTAGATAACATTATTATATATTTGCATTTCGGTGCACAACAGTTATTTGGTAAGACAACGATTTTAGATTTTCCATAAGTTGAACATTTTTTTGGTCATATTGATATGTCCGCATTTATATTTATATATTCATCACTGTTACTATCATTTATTATTATTGCTTGTAATTCAATGCCCCTTGATCTGCCAAAACTTAACAATCGGTTTGTGACAGCAGTTAACACAATATCAGAGCTCAGACTGCCTACGTACAGTCCTACCAACGTGAAGATATGATTCGTGAAGATCACAACACTTCTTTGTATGTGGCACACGTTTCCGAGCCACATGGTATACATACGTCGTGAGTGTGCTCCCGATTGTGACTGCAGCTAAGGTTGGAGATCTCATAGATCAGGTCCCAGAGAAAACGGTATGTGACAAAATAAAGGCTGCAGTGACCCAAAGTAAATTACTTTCAAACGAGAAGAGATTACAGCAACTATTGAAACTTGCAATTAATAACTGTCTAAATTAAATTAAATTCTGAAAAATATTAGAAATCAGGCCTAAATTAACCATTCCTACAAATTCCAACACAGTGGTGACACTACCATTTCCTATCATTTATTGTACTAAAAGTGTTCATTTTTTAACTGAATATTTCACTACATGAATTATTAAATTAGGCAACTTGGTAGCTAATAAAGTATCTAGTACAACATTGCTATGGTATAATAACTATAGATATCATCAAGCTGTTAGAATGAAAGTAGATGGAATAAACCAAATTCAAGTGGATAAATTACTTTAAATAAATATTGTTTCAACTGATTAAATAAAACTATGGTTAATTGTTTCTTTGAACAAATTAACAGCAAATTACATTGAATTAAATTAAATAATTTTTCGTAAATGAAAAGGAAAATTCTGTCCATCAAATATTTCAAGACTCATATTGATTACAGATACCTGTTTGTTATATCCTGACGAGAGTTATGAGTGGTAACTTTTGAGAACTACTTATGGACCAATACGATACATATATTTTTATTGCATAATTGTTAATTAGCTAAACTATGCAGGAATCGGACCCAAAACCTTCGGTTTCATACCTGAACGCTCAATCTGTAGACCACTGAGTCGAAATTCAGCGGTGTTAATGTCTAACTTCAATCACTCTATGATATCGTACAACCATCTCCATAAATTCATATGCTGTAATTTTAAACGACGTATTCAGCTTAAACTTAGCTATTCCTTTGAAACGTTAGGTATATAACTGTAAAATGTTATTGAAGATATAATTGTGTTATAATAAGTTAGTTTTAGTACCTAGATAAAACAATTCATGTCATATCGAATGCGTATGCACATATGCCATCTTGGAAATTCAATTCCAAACAACTTCATCATTTTACAAATTGATTCATTGTCTTTTTTTTAATCAAAATTGAATCTGCATGTGTGTAAATATTACAACATTCGGAGTTGAATGACAAAAATACATATTACTAAAAAATCAAACATAAATTGACAAATTATTACTGTTAGGGAAATTCTTCTTGTTAGAATGATTTAGTTAGCGTGTTAATTTCATTCAACGTACTTGATTGTTTGCTTTTTATGTTTTCAAATCTATACTATATTGCTTAACAGGGAAACAAATAAATGAAAGAAATAAACAAATGGAAAGAGTGAAACCAATGTACTTCGACCTATTTATCATCCTGTATTTCATAGACATTAAGGATTATGTGAATATCAAACAACCAAGCTGTTATGTAGGCCAAGATAATAATTGGTTTGGTAACTACAAAACACATGATGTTCGACTCCATTGGATAATGGATTAGGGATGATTCATAATATCATATGTCGGATACGAGATTACTAGATCAGTAGACCAGATCAATTCACACCCACACATACGATTCACAACTGACGACTAAAAACCAGATTATAGACCAGACGATAGTCTATTTAAGACAAACACAAGCGGCTCACACGGTAAAATCAAGGGCAGAAATCAGTAGTAGAAAAGGATTCACAATGTTAAAGTGTCTTAAAGAATAATAAATAAGAACTTTCGTCTAAATTTGATCGAACAATTTCACAGTAATTGGGCACCGAGTTGATATGAGACACTAAAGAGGAAGAATTTATTTGTAAAATCTCAGCGAAAGAATTTGGAGTAAATCCAACGTTTCGTCTGGCAATCTGGCAAGGCTGGTTGTCTGTCTTCTCTTACTAGCCAATCACAACTTACTATCGCACAACACCATCAAGAATCTATAAAACCGATTAGTAAACACGATTAGGCAATGAGTACGAGTGGCTATAAGTATAGTGGTATCCCAGATATCACTTGAAAACAAACAGAAAATTTTATGGTCTAACTTTAATCGTTAGGATAAACATAAATGACTAAACTACCTACGTATTAAAAACAATGACTATAAAATTTGTGATTACTAGCACCTATCAATTTTATATATGAATACAACACATATCATTCAAGACGCTGAGTATGTACCTACAGCTAAGTAAATCAAGAGATTGTAATTCTCTTAATTTTATGTCTATATTTGACGTAAAATTCTAAATATAGGTGAGTATTCACTTTGACAATAATAATAATAATAATAATAATAATAATAATAATAATAATAATAATAATAATAATAATAATAATAGATAACTGATAACTGATCTAAGTGTTGTTCTGTATGAGACAGAATGTTTACTTTTAAAGTAACATAGCAGGGGATTTTGTGTGGAATGGTGTGAGCTGATAGAGTAGTACATTTCAACCTTGGATATATACATGTTATTGTCACAACTGAAATTGCTCTCTAGTTAGTTTGAAAGACCGAAAATTTTTGTTGCGAACTTGTCATCCGTTGGAAAACTAATTAGAACTAAATAGTAAAAGGTGTTCGTTCTCAGTTCGGATCTCCCAAACAATACATATCCACTTGACACATAAAAGACTGAAAATAAGATGCTGATTTGCTGCAGGGAGATTATAGTGGGAATCAATTTAAATGAAATGGTTATCTCTGTTGTATAGTTAACTAATTATCATACCGATAAGTGTTAATAACTACTGTTGCTAATGTTTAAAAAAAATTCAATAAGCAAAAACAGGATGAGAAACAACAAAAAAACTAATCGACTAACTTTAATACAATAGTATCTTTTACAAGGTACAAAAACATTTGCTGGCCATATTTTTCCATCGGTAGTAACAAATGGTCGATAGACGGTTTGTTCACTAGTGTTCATTATCCAATGTATTATTATTGTCGAATAGAGATTATCAACCTGAAACGAAATAGAAACGCACTAATCAAAGTATTGGGTAAACAAAATATCAATGAGACAAACTGTGAAAATGTCCCATAAACTACTAGAAAGAAGTAAAATTACTAATAATACTGATGTTTAAAACTGAGTAACTGAATTAGAATATATCACCCATTGTATAAATGAGCAGTTCTCTGGACTCGGTAGCTAGTAGGGTTAATGCATTGGTATTTGAAGCGAAAAGTACTGGGTTCGAATCGCAGAGTGAACATCAACTCAGATGCAGGTACATCTACCAGGCGGGTTCCAAATATGACTAAACATGTATTTCGGATTCCACTGCAAGCCACCATTTATCTCTGCTTAAAATTAATGTTATTATAGCTTGTGATGAATTGTGTTCGACAACTATTGTAAACGAATAGACAAATGATAACAGCGAATTGGATTTTGTAAAAATTATCATATGTAATATGATATTTCTAATCACTTGAATAGATCCTATTTTTTCTGACTGTCAACAATTTCTCATATATCAATCAATATATTTCCCGACAGTGCAGCAGATAATACATTCTGATCTATGTGAGTTCAATTTATTTTTCAATGATTTTTGGCGATAAGATTTGATGTGCAAGTAAATTCAGACAATTTTGAAATTCAGTGAAATAGTCACATTTAAATTGAAAAATAATTTCATCAACGTCTAATATCAGTTGGGTTAAGTTTGGGAATTTAAAAGAATTTGACAGTTTCTTCAAACTTGTTAGAATCTCTCTTCGGTAGTTAGCATCTTTTAAATGTTAGAAAAATGTAACTTAGTAACCAAGCCTAAATTTACTTACTAGGTATTGATTCAACTAGGCTAATCAAACCATAAATTAGTAATAGTATGTCCTATGTCAATCATCTATCACATACACGTTTATATATTCGATTTTGAGCTATATTTATTACTAAACTTAAATCGAAGTCGCCAGGGTATGACTAGACAACAAAAATAGTAGACACAACACAAAAAGATAAAACTGTCAATGAATAAATAAGTAAACGAGAACGATATTTAATCGATGAAAACGACAAAAAAAGACTATTTGCAGCTAAGGGAATTCCTTTCGTTTCAATATTCAGTAATTTAACCTTTGATGTTGAGAAATTTGATTTTATGTAAATTTTATTATCACAAGACTTTAATTGTAGGTAAACTGGCAATGAATGAAAATCGATTACTAGTCACATTACGCCAAATTACTTCAAAGAACAGTGAATACGAACCAATATTCAACTACACAATTGTTATTACATCCAGTTGGTAATCAAATTGAAGTGTATCGGTCAACATGAACCGAATTTGTATTAGTAATAATGCTTACAGTATAACTCTTGAAGAAAAAAGTCAGTTTTCGATTCCAACGTAACTAATATTATTGGTCAGATAATTTTTACTTTAAAAATGACAAAATAATCGGTCCAACATTTGTTTGCTCAATGAGACTTAATAAAAAGTTCAGTAGGACTTGATCTTAACAAAATTTGTGAAATAGAGATCTTTAATGTGTCTAACTTGAGTGATCTAGTTTTGAACTGGATAAGTTCATACCCAGAAATAGCTAGCAATTTTTAAAAATAAACTGATCAACCGGTACTAAAGACTACCGAAACATCAATATTTAAATCAATGGGATTAGTAGTGTTTTTAGTGCTTTACAAGCTGAACACAAGTGACCAACTCTTACATCAGACAAAAACTAGTGTTTGTTTAAATTTTCTTACATTCATAATCACATTTACTAGGCAGTCCAAAAAGCATGTTATAAGAATCGTGTTCGAAGGGAGAACAAAATCCCAACTTCTGAAAACGTGTGTACAATGTCATATATTTTTACTTTAATGAGATTTTCTCGCTACTAATTTTAGATTAGTTTTGTTCAAGAATTTCTAAGTGTTTCTTTGAATGCACATTTACTGCCCTTATTTATTCTTCTTCGATGTATCACGCTTAGATGTCACTGCCCCCCTCCACAACACGATACATATTGAAGATTGACAGATATGTAGAAGATAAGACTTATAAATTTAGTTTCTGGAGGGGACATGAAAGTATTTGGGCATTTCAATATATGTAGAAAAAACAACAAAACAACGTCAAATGACAGAAATGCTACAGTACATTAAATTAAACCTTCGCATTTTTATAGGGCTGTACAGAGTGACATGCCTATGAAAATATACTTAACTTTTAGTTATAACAGCTCAATGTTGATCTCCTCGAGTTTGGAATAGCGATAAAGATCCAAGTGACTAGGGGAAATTGTGAGCCAAATTACTATCAAAACATGAACAAGCTTGTAACTAAGTTGATCAAACTTCTAGTGACTACTTTTAATCATCTACACCAAAAATAAATTTGAATATGTGAAATAAAAGTAGGACAAACTGTTGGTATTTAAAGTATGAACCATGAATTCGTCTGTTTTTCATGCATATTCGACCGATTAGGTAACAATATCTTAGCACACAGTAAATATGCTTGTTTATCTCACATTTAATTAAGCTAAAATGTAAAATGGTAACAAGCCCACTGGTCTATGCATTGGATTACTAATTACTATGACATGTATTCAAGTAAATATCGAAATAAACAGAAAAAACGGCAGACTGACTGCTGCTCATAGAGTACAATATTACACAATGCGACAAAACGGTACCACTATAGTAAGGTATTATCACCAAACAACACCTAAATTAGACAAAAACAAAAGTGCGTATATTAACAACTATGCCTGGAGTCTCTCGACGGGTGTCACCGGTTTTAAATCCGTGTAAAACAGGAGGATTAGTCGTCCGGTTATCAGCCCTACCTCGTAGATAACCTCGCTGACGAACTAAACAAAATAAAACAATTAATATATTCAAGAATTGATTTGAAAGTTGTAGAGTAATGACACCTAATTGAGAAGCCTGAGATTCTTAGGAAGTCACGAAACTGATACACAATCATTAACGGAAGGAGTCATGACAACCACTGCAACAGTTAATATAGACATATGGAACATCGATAGGGTCGTTCAAATAACAACACTAATGAGAGCATACAACCTGGTCGTGTTCACAGTAAATTAAGTCCGTTGAACACAAGCTTGATAGAAAAGACTAACTTCAGTAAAGCTGTGATTGTATTCTCATCACAGAAAAGCAAATGCCCAACAAACACAACAAACCCCACTGATGCTCTCTACACAAATACGAGAGTCGCTTACGGATTGACAATCTCATGGCTTCACCACCATCAAGTCATCCTTCAGAAGAACGAATGGTAGCATCACTATGAGCACCATCCACTGTTACGCATCACTAAATGATAAAAGTGAACATGAGTACAATCGGTTTCATGCGAGGCTGTAGTTGATTGTAGAGAACTGTTCACAAAAAACCCACACCATTCTGGTGGGAAATCTGAACGCCAACATCGGGTGTGGACGCATCATCAAACGATGTGGACTGAGAGGGAAACGAGAATGGTGGGAAACTGACAGATCTATTCACTTTCATTACCACGGTTTTAGGTGACACCATTTTCACCCACAGACGTATACGCAAAGGTACATGGGTTTTGTCGGGTCATGTAACCGAGAACTATATCCAGTACTTGAAGAGACAAACACTACAGAACCCACTGGATATCTAAATTGGCACACTAAGATCACCTTGTACATTATACCCCATCAACAACAGAAGAAGTCAGCTTGACCATCAGAAAAATTAAGGATTGCGAAGAAACAGGACCAGATAGCGGACCAAATGGATCACTGAATTCAGATTCATAAATAACTACGACACTTCACGTTCTCTTAAAAATGATTCAGAAAGGAGAACAAGTACTAACACATTGGAAAGAGGGACAAATCATCAAGATATGGAAGAAAGTAAACCTTAGTAAGTGTGAGAACCACAGAAGAATCATACCGTTAACAGTACTGGCCAATTTTTTCAACAGCTCTATTCAAAAGAACGAAAGATTCAGTCGACAACCATCTTTAAGTCCACAGTTTTATTTTCTATTTTATTTGAACACATGAATATTGGTACAAGAGAGTCTATGGAAATTACTTTTCTCGCTTGAGTCCAAAGAGTTGGATTTCAAAAAGATAGATCACGTACCGACCAAATCGCGACATTGGAGATCATTACTAAGCAAACAATTGATCAAACCTCATCTCTATGTATCAACTTCCTTTGTTATGGGAAATAATTCGAATTTTGATAGAAAAAAATATTGTATAACTTTCTTAAGTATGGTGTCGTACATGAGAGATTGGTCACCATCATGCGAAGCTCCTACG